TGCATGGTGGGCTTCTTTTTGCTGATATCCAGTGAAAAATACACTTCCAGTTCCCCGGTAGAACCAAAGCCTCCATCCCCGCTTTCAGCATTCAGCGCGGGGGGAACTTGTGCTTGAAATGGAACCAGCTGTGCCATACGGCTTCCTGCCGGTATATTCACAGGAGGGGAAGGTGCCCAAACCATAATCTTAATTCGCCCCGTATAATCCGCATCAATAACCCCAGGCAACACAAACAACCCTTTTTTAGCAGCCGAAGATCATCCTAGTAACAAGGCACTCGGGCCGTTCCCCGACGGCCCGCGCACCGTCCTTGGAAGGCGTTGCACAGCTGAGTCCTGTAAGGGGATTTCTAATTCTGTTTCCACGTCCCCTCCGGCAGTCCCTGTGGTGCCGGGGGCCAGGGGCACTCCCTGTGGTGCCGGGGGCCAGGGGCACTCCCTGTGGTGCCGGGGGCCAGGCAGCCCGATTGCTCCTTCCCGTTTGTGTCGACGCGCGGGACGACGGCGCGCTCTGCCGGTACCTTCCCAACAGCGATCCGTTTCCATGAAATTTAGATCTGCACTCCGCAGCGCGGTGCCCTGCCTTCTGACATCTATGACAAATTATCCCTGGCTTTTCACATTGACGTTTACGACAACTTATCTTGGGTATTCCCTCCGAGCTTCCCCCCCTTTTTTGTTTTTTGCGCTGTGATTTAAAATGGCCTGGTTTGCCACAAGAAAAACGTGTCTTTTCGGCTCCTGGCCCTCGCACTAGTGGTTTAATGGCAGCTGCAAAAGCATTGGCCATCAGGACCGCGGCATGTTCCAGCGTACCCACCCCATTACATGCCTCAACCATCTGCACTAAACTCGCCTCCTTTGGTAATGCCAGTAGGATGCGCTTACACGGCCCGTTGGCATTTTCCACGGCCAAATTCATTAATATGGCAGTTTTCGCTTCGTCATTGACAAAAGCTTTATCTCACAACCTTCCAATAAATGTCATATACGGCTCCTCTTTGCCCTGCTGAATCTGTGTATACGATGGCTGTGTTTTCCCCTCCTGTGGAATGGTACGTAATGCGTTCAGGGCCATTCTAGCTGTTTCCCTCAATGCTTGTTCTGGAAGCCGTGCTTGCAATTGAACGTTAACAAACTGTCCCTGCCCTGTCATTTGTTCCATTGTGATTAATCTTAAAGGATCCCCCTCTTGGCGTTCAAGGTTTTTTATCATTGCCATTTCACACTGTTTATACCCTCTGTCCTGCCACAGAAGCTTTTGGGCGGGCGTAAGAATCACATCTACCAACTGCCTGCCATCCCACGGTGTCAGAATACACCCAGTGAACACATTATCCAACAGTGGCTGCGTATAAGGCGCTTGCAACCCATTTTGCACAACCGATTTTCTTATTTCCTTCACTATATCCCATGGAAAAGGCGCCCACTGATTGGGACCATTTGGGACCGCAGTAACCGGGCAAACTAGAGGTGGCAACATTTGTCCTTCTTGCAGAGCCCCAGCGTAGAGGCTGTGCCACCGCTCTCTCAGATCCCACCCTGCCACCGGTCGTTGTCCCACCCCCTTGAAACTATCAGAATCCCCCCCAGTCATCCTCATCACTACCCGGGGGAGGTGGATATAATGACGTGATCGGTTTTGAAACCACCTCCCTTGGTTTTGGGGCAGGTGGTGGACGATTTCTCCGGGGTGGCTTTAAAGGTGGTGACGGATCTTTCTCCTTTTCGTGGCTCCCACAAGGACACCCAGTTACACAGTTATTACAGTCCGGAATACATTCTTCCACCCATCCTCCCTTTTTCTCATCAGATGGTTCTTCCAGGGACGGAGCAGAAGGCTCCGGTGTGAGAAAATCCGGTATTGGGGTAAAAGGATCAGGGTTCGGGGTAAATAAAGTCAGATTTTTCAAGGTAATCACTGGTTGCAAGGCTGCAGATGCTCCCCCAGCCGCAGTCCTTTCGGCTTTCATAGCTTGCAAAGTGGTAAGCACCAGTTGCCAAGTTGTTGCTAACTCGGCTGTACCCTTCTCCCCTCTTCCTATAGCATCCCATAATTTATTTCCAGTCCCTTCCCAAACCTCTGGTTCAAACACCAGTGCCGGATCAGGTACATACCCTTGGTTCTTGCACCATTTCAACAGCCCTCTAACAGCTGACTCCTGATATTTTATTCCTCTCTTAGAGAGTATATGCAGTAGGAGCCTCACTATCGCACTCTTTTCTGCTGATAAACTCTGCCCCATCCTGCCCCGGCTGCTCACCTCGCTGGGTGAGATTCCCGCTGCAGCGTATCCTCTATCTCCAGGCCGTCATCCAACCCCCTGTCCTGGTCCTGCCGAGCAGCTCCCAGCCGGTCTTTTCCTCTGCCTGACCTTCTCCGATCACATCGGGGTCACCATCTGAGGAGAATAACAGACTTCGGCAACTCTAGAAGAGTCATAAATGGAAGACGTTTATACAAGCGCGTTTATATATCTTCCTAGCAACTGATCACACAGAAACAAAAAGCTTTGTTGGTTACATCCATTTTTCACACGCTGTCCGTGCGTCTCAGACCGACGTTTGATTGGTCATTACCCCCTGTCCGTAATACACCGGACAACTCACTGGCTACAAGTTAGTTACTGCTATCCTGGGCCTATTGGTTAATTACATCTGACAAGCACAAACATGATGTTCTACACACTTTTAGCTCAAGGTAGAAAACTTCCCACTGTTTAAGAAACAGCCAGATGTTTTCCATTAACCATAGCCTGGCATGTTTTCTTCAGACAAAGCTCAGCATCCTTGTCTTATTTTCTACGTTGCTGTTTGATACTCCCAAGGCTTCTGGCCAACGAAGGTCAAGGTGTCCTCATCATTCACCAGCCATACAGCACTCCCAGTTCCAAGTCTTGCTCTTGTCCAGTGTGGCCATTCTCCTCCAAAAACGACCCCACACAGGGACTGTCTTAAAAACAAAACCAAACCAAAACCAACCAGCTAGTAGAAATTTGACTGTTTTCACTTGAAAACCCTTTCCATGTTTTCTGTTCATCTCTGGTTTAGCATTTCATTTCCACCCAAATTGAAAGTCAGACTTAGCCTTGTCCTGCCAGTCCTTTTGGTGGATGAGCACGCCCCGATCCCGGCTGGCTCAGCACAGCTCCCTGGAAGGCTCCAGGTGATGGAGGGTGTATTTGTAGCTCTGCCTGGAGCTGCGTAATAGAGCAAACCCCATCTTTGGTGAGACAGAACAGCAGCCTCGCTGGGAGATGATCCTCCCAGCATAAAGGAAGCGAGCACCCAGCTGCCATGGTCTCAATAGCCCCTGTTGGCTCTTTGCTTCATTGCTGGGGATGGCAGCGACTGTCATAATTAAAAATCATTGCTGCAACCCCCATCACAGCCACACAGCTCCGATGGAAAATTGACAGTCTGATGCTGGAAACAGTTTTGCTGCCTCTAACCAGCCGTGGGGGTGGCAGTGGGATCCAGGCTGTGACCCCACGGCTGCAGACTGATGAAACCCATACAGCAAAAACGAAGCCTGGAGAAAAGCAAATGGGAAGCAGGGATGTGCAGGATGGTACCCGATGGCCCCCAGTGATTTCCATGAAACAATTCACTAAACCCAGGAGCCTCCCTTTAGCCAGACCTTTGGCGTGCTTGCTCGGAAGAGCTACACGCTTGCAAACATCCAGCTCTTGGAAGACTCTCACAGAAGTTTGTTTTGGGTGGATTTCCTCCCTCCTGCAGGAGCCAGAAAAGGACTTTGGGTGCTTTGTGGGACCAGCTGTTTGCAGCAGCAGGTACCTGCCCGCCTCCGTTGTAGAACAGGGACAGCGCCGGGCTTGTGCCTGCAGTGGGAAGCAGAGCACAACCGGCACGAGAGGGCCACGGCCCCAACAGCCAGACGCACAACTGGCTTCAAGGGCCTGGGCATAAAGATCTTGCTCAAGTCATTTTATGCAGCCTTTGCACAGATGCCCTGAGTCACTCAGAAAGCTTCCTTAGTGCAGAGGGTGACTTGCCTTCTCCCGTCAGGCCCGCAGGAAGGGCCTCGGGGAGGCAGCTCAGCTCCAACACGGGTGACGGGTCCGAGAAGAAAGGCCACCCGCCCCCAGCACCACGGCCAAGCGGCTCAACTCCCAGCCCAGCAGAGATAAACCACTGCACAGTTCTCCAGGCCCAGAGTGATTTTGCTTATCGGGATGTTTTTCTTACCAATGCAATTCCCGTTTTCTCCAATACGCCCAAATGGGGAAATACACTTTGCTGCCTAAAAATCAATTACAGTCTTTGATACAGTCATTTCTTTCCAAAGAATGTAGAAAAAAAAATCACTATAATATGCCACTACTCTCCTGAATTTCCTCCGTCATTAATAAATAACATTACTTATGTTAATTATTACTTGCTGTCTACTACGAGCATTAAACAAATAAAATGCATAAAAATACATCAGAACCATGGATTAAAAAAAAAAAGCATTTAAACTGACAGGTCTTCAGGTTTTTCTGTATTTGTACTTACCCTGGCTGACATCATGACCCCCATTTTCTACAGAGTGAAAAGAGGAGCTGTTTTCCTCCGAAATGATGTACAATTGTTTAAAAAGCCTAGCAAAACACCTCCTACACTATGATCTAGTGGCTTTTACAAAAATATCACTGAATCTTCAATCTATAGATTTCAACGTTAAAAACATGTCCTAAGCAGATTTCAGTAACAATGTGAAGAGAAATGAAGAATGAAAAAAGAAAACGATGAAAGGATGTGCAAACCCAGGAAAAAAAGCCCTAAATTAGAACTCTTCAGTTGCAGTTGTTACGCTGGGGTGTTAAATTATTTTACCTTACCTTAAAAAAACAAGTTTCAAAATTTCAGTTTGCTTCAAATACATTTTAGACATACTGCCTTTTTCTCTGGAGAAGGGTAAATGTGACTGCCTTATGACTCTTAGGCAGAAGTCTGTTTACTTTATTCATAAAAATTGCAAAGGAAACCACCACCTTAAACTAAGAAACAGTCACATTTTATTTTAAAAACAAACATTGCATGAAACAATACAGAGATTTTCAAGTTCTGAGCGCTTTCTGGACCCTCCTGAGGCACAGATTGGGAAAGCCCATTTGCACAGTCTGGAATGGCTCATTTTTGCACCCCTGACCCTCCTAATTCAGCCTCTGCCCTGGTTTGCTCTCCCTGCCTGCATCGGGCTGCTCTCTGCCACTCTCACAGCCGCAGATGTTGACAATGCAGCCGAACATCAGCAGCCCACTCCCATTTCCTTGAGTGTCTTTCTCTTACAGGGTTTGCAACAGACAGAAGGAACGGTAGGGAAACCATTACTTTGCCCCTCTAAAACCAGAGGACAGTTTTTGTACACAGTTTATCCTCCCCAGAATGACCCCTCTGGATTTAGCATCAGACATTACAAGCAGCGAGGCACGCAGCTACACAACGGTGTGGAACTGTCCTTCTGGGAAACAGGCCCATTACTATTAATTTTGTTATCAAGCTTTACACTAGTAACTAGCAAAAGATTGGGAGAGTAGATTCAACATTTCCCTCAAGAATTGATAATAAAATACTTTCTAAAAGACTACTTGGAGCAAGGCACTCTTTTTGCTACTGCTCTTTGAGCACAGCAGCAAATTTCTCAACACAGAGCTACCTAATGTTTTCAGAAAACAGATGCTGAGAAGGTATGGCATTATTTAGCTTGGCTTGAATGCAAAAGCTGACAATCTGACATTTGTAGATTGATCTAAAGGCTTTGGTTTTTTGGGTAAATTTGAGTCCTCCAATTTTTGGTCCTGGTGCTTTTTTGCTTCATCTTCATCTGGTGTGGGACGTTTTCGCTTTTTATCTTCTGTTAAATCATTAACTGTTCCTCCTTTTGCTTTCTCAGTCCATGCCTGTGAAGAAAGTACATCATGAAACAGAAAACTACGTATTAGGCCACAAAACTCACCACTTTATTTTATACACCTTCTGTCTCTGATTATAAGGAAGTACTGAAATAATTGTTAAAAAAAAAAAAACTAATAAGGATTAAGTTAGGAATAATGTCCTCACTTTCCTTTTTTGTAACAACATTCTCCTTCAAAACTATACTTCATTTGAGCCTGTATATGAAACTGAAGCTCTTAATTGTCTTCCTGGGCAAATAAGAAACCCAAAAGGCCTTAGAACAAATTTAAGCCCCAGTGAATTAAGGCTGGCTATGGTCACTTTTAACTCTTTTTCTCTTTTGTTATTTCTTGATTGATGACAAGTCTCTCACTTCAGAAAAAAAGCTGTTTTCTGTATTTAATTATTATTCAGACACTTTATATTTTCAAAAATATATGTTGCATAACATGGCCCAACACAAAACTGAAGCCTATGAAGATGGAGAACAGTGGAATTTAAAGAAAAAATTCCTAACCAAAAATAACCAAGGGATTCAGTGGAGGGGGGGAAAAAAAATCTTAAAAAAGAGAAAGTTTTCTTACCATTCTTTCTTCCGATGACAGTATTCTAAATCGACTCATACCTTCTTTTATTATTTCTGCTTCATTCAGATCAGGGTTATCTGTCAAAATGTTTGCTCTGTTCTCCTCTAGCCACATCTGGAACCCTGTCTTTGGTCTAAACCAAGCACATAAAAATTGTCTGTTTAAGAAGGCTATAGGAAAACCATATCCCCAAAATAACATTTCTAAACAACACCTAAATGGATTTTTTTGTTCTTGAAAGAAAAAACGTATATATAGTCAGCAGTTTGCCTTCTGCTATTCCAGTCAGTATGCTTAAAGAACATGCTGACAAGGCAAGATTAAGTCAAGCATTTTTATTAAAACTGTGATATATATGGAGATTAACATTTCAGTTTTAGAATGACAGAGCATAATGGTTCTCTTCCTTTCTGACAGGGTCCCATCAACCTAAAAATAGAGCACATATATTATCATGTTTCAGCTAATCCTTTTCACAATTCTCCTTGCCACTTGTTTTAGAACATTATCTGTGAAGGTTAATGAAGAGAATGCTAGTCCAAATGAATAATAATTACCTTCATCTTCCTCAGTTAAATGAAGTCTAAATGAAACATAATTATAATAATGCAAGTTTCATGAGGACTGGGATTGTTAGAAAATACATCTGCTCCAGAGGAACAAGACAGATTAGAGTCTTAGCTCGGAAGAGACGTGCTCCTTAGGTGATCTAAGTTTTTTGTTTCTTTTCTTTTTTAAAGAACACATTAAAACAAAGTTTTTACACTTTCACATAAACCCCCCTAGCTTTTGGACTCCTCTGAGATTTGCTACAGATGTTTAAATTTTAAGTATTTCCTGTATTTGGAACTGGCACAGCACCATGGTTTAATTTATCATTCAGAGATCATTATCAGATACATAAGTGGTATCAAGGCAAAAATCGTTACATAGAGCCCCAAAATTACATTTTGCATTCATTATTCACTCACACATGTATTTGTCTCAGGCCAATGCAAAATCTCTCCTTTGAATAACACTGCCAACCACACTGGGGAAGATTTAATGAACAGAATGCTTTTCTCTGTTCTTTCACTGTGATTGTAATACGGCACTTTGGAAATCCAACTGATGTTTTTTAAGCAGGCTGATTTGATAATATGCATAGTGTAAGAAGCAGTTTACTAAATTTCTGAAGCAAGTTCATAAACATGACAATTTGTAAGCCAACACTTTAATCTTGGTGTTATGCTACTTCAGCCAGTCCAATGTCTTCAGAAACAAAATAGTTTTTGAACTTGCTATTCTATCAAAATTGGAATAGGGCATTGAGATACAAGTGAACACGCACCTTCTGTTTTCAGTGTTCTCCTGTGCAGTGACTTTGACTTCACGGGACTCATTTCCTGCTTTTTCTTCTCTTTCTTCCACTGTTTTTTCACTAGAGTTAAGTGTACGAGCCTGGAAGAAGGAGCTTGCTAAAGCCTGTAGAAATTGAGGGTGTTAAAAAGAAAAGAAAAAAGAAAGAAAGGTAAGAAGATCTCACTCTCTGACCACACATACCATGTAGCCTAACAAAACCCAAGCCTTTCCTAAAGACATAATAATCACTTGCATTAACACAGTATCTAAACCATCCAACTTCACCGCAGCAGATATTTAGTTAACACTATTTAAAATAAAAGTCCAAGATTCAGTGCAGAATGTAATTTCTACAACTGAATTTTTTTTTTTGCCATTTTATGTACTTTCCTAGTTTCTGCGGTATGCTTAAATGAACTTTGCCATCTAAGATGCTTTACTCAATCAACGGGGTTTCATACTTGACAAAAGCTGGTAAAATTCAATTTACTGTTCTTTGTTCACTGAAGCAATGTAAGAAGACTAGAAACATTACCTGCTTGGACTTGGGTTTGGGAGTCAGAGGCTTTATAACTGGAGGGTTCTGCTTGTTTACAGCTCGACTGCTAGACAAAGACGTTTTCTTTGAGTACTTGCTCATAGTGTCTAGAATATTTGCTGAGGGGACCACTGGGTCCTTTTTGTTAGATGACACCTAGCAAAACAAACAAATAGACATTTTATTTATTTTTCTGTCATGTTCCCCTTCTCTGTCCCTCCAACATATTTGTCATAGTTATATTGTAAACTTTAAATAAAATAATCTGCTGTGATTTTCAGAACACCACAATCAAACCAGCTGCAAAATTCTTACCTTAAAGGGATTCACTCGTCCTTGGCTGCTTGGTGCAATTAGAACTATTTAATAGGAGAGAAAAAGAATGTAAAACTGTGTGTGTACACACATATTTATATATAAAAATCTCTGAAGTAATGTGCACATTTTAGACGAGTAGATGAAACAACATTAGACTCATTTCCAAAGAACAAGGCTAACACTCATTGTGTGTGTTTCAGTCTCTGTTCATTGAAAATTGAAAATAACTAAATCAAAGGTATCAACTACTCCACACCAAGTTCCCACCAGGCATACTCAGCTATTATTAGTCATCAGAAATGCCACACAGGACCAACAGCTTAAAATACAAATCCACAGGAAGACTCAGTACTTCCTCCACTCCCAAATCCGTTTCCACTCCTATTATTCTTGCTAGCAAGTTGACAGGAGGGAAGAAGCAAGAAGCAGCAAGAGGTCGCATTCTGCCCTTGCCTGCTCAGTCTCACAGTTCTACATCAGGGTTATTAACTTTGCCTTGTAAGTGCAACCAAAAAATGTGCCTGTGATTAGTTACAAAAAAAAAAAAAAAAAAAATCAATTATCATTGTTCTCATTCTACTCCTGTCCCAAAGAATGCCTTCATGACACAGCCAAGCAGACAACTGATTCAGCATTTGGCACAGCTAAGGCAATGAGAATAGTGGTATGGAACATCACTAGGTAATGAAGACATCAATAGGAACAGGGAACCTCTTCAAAATGTGAGAACAAGAACCAGGGTATGTTACCACCTGACAACACTGTTACGCACTAAATTTTAGTAGTAATGGGAGTATGAAGGATAAAAACAGGAGCTGATATTGTGAAGCATGACAAAGCTCTCACCCTGGAATAAATGGAGATTTACTCACCAGACTTTGGAGTAGTCACCTCTGCTGAAGTGACACCTTTGGAGAAAGGATTTGGCCCTTCAAAAAAAAGAAAAAGGTACATATGTAAGTGCAATAAAATGCAATAGCATAACTTCTTTACAAGCAAAACCCCAAACAGACAAGTAAGTTATAGTAAAGCAATCTATATTTTAAAGCACAGCTTTTCATTTTCAAATTGTACATACATATTTACAAAGCCATCTGTTGTCTCTGCCTAGATTTAACTTAGTTGTATGCTTACTCCTTAAACTTATTCCTTAAAGTGTGCTCAGCAAGCTACTGGTCTATCAACTCAACTCCTGCAAGATCTGAGCTGAAACCAAAAGGAACCATTTCACAAGGTGACCCGGCCCATTAGAAACAGCACCAGACATCAGAAAATCTCCCCCAGGGTCCCTCAAACGGTTATGAAGTACAGTGTGTAAGCAAGCTGCCACAGAGCAGATGACATACACTACACTTGTTTCTCTGCAGCAACTGGGGGCACAGGCTGGGATACAAACCCACTCGCTCAGGCAGGCACGACCACTCATCTCCCACAGGGAACTCCAGGTAATGGGAACCCCCCAGGCAGGAGCTGCTCTATGTCACCCCTGGGCATTTTTTCCCATGTCAACACCCAAGTAAGACAGACCAGAAATTACCAGACCTGTTCTAACTAGGTAGCAGAACACCTACTCCCTGCTACAGTCGCAGAGTTTCAAAATGCAGTGAAACAAATGGGATTATTTTCTGTTTACATAAATGGCTTCTAAATCAAACCTCCTGTACCTCACTTGTGATGTGCCATGATAGGTGGTGTGCTTGTCTTTCCTACATTTCATGTTAAAAGAACCAAACAAAAAAATAGACAGAAATCCCCTTGTTTGCATAGTCCTACAGACTCCTGAGTTATCCAAACTACTAATTATTCAGGAATTTTCTGGAATTGCTTATTAAGTCTGTGAAAGACATATCTAGATAACTTCTGGCCTATTCAGAGAATACATTTTTCTTACTCTGTTTATGCACTTCTGGTGTTTCTTCTACTTCCTCATAGTCATCAGTTTCCTCAGCATCTTCCATTTCTTGGTCCTGCTGAACATTTCTGACTGGCAGCCGCCGACTCCACTCCGTGGCAGAATTGCTGTAACTAAGTGGAAGGAATTCATCAGAAAGGAAGTGGCCACCACATTCAGAATGAAAACTGGAACAATGGAAGGCTAACTTACTTACCTAATTTAGGAAATAAGAACAATAACATTTGGCATTTATTTGCATTACACCTCCGATTAAACTGTGATGATTACTAAAAATAAAATAAAGATTCACTAACCACTTCAGTTCACCCTGAAACACCGAGTGCAGTCATCTGAAGCGGTACTCCTGTAGTTTTAAGAAAGACCAGGCATGGCTATGAAACTGCCCAAAACTCACACTCAGCTAAAAGTACATGCACTGGCCTTCAAACAGCTCTGCACACAAGAGCAACGCTCAAACAGAAAAAGCAACCTTTTGCCACCTTCTTCAGAGTGCACTGCTATTGCTGCCAGAACACTTTGCTGCAAGTATAAATGCAAACATAAAACATCTTCTGTATTCTCCATTTAAACACATATGCTGCCAATATAATAAACAATATCAGATTACTTTTCTGCATACATACCACACAGGTGGTAACATGGATGCATACTTTCAGTCTGAAGCTTAGGCAGCAAGTTTTAATGTTTAATCTATTCTCTAAATTCCTAACAGTGGTACATACATTTCTTGTGTTTCCCTCCTAATCTTTGTTGATTACTAAAAAGCTGTGTATACATAAACTAAAGGTTGATTTATTTCAACCAGAGTGTCAGTGATTACTCTGGCACTAAGAACAATATAGTATTTGTGATGAATTTTAACCCTCAGGGTGGCTGAAGTCACAGACATGGGATTACAGCTTCCATTCATGATCCAGAGGAACAAGGTAGAGCATTTAGAAAGGGGTTTTAAATGCGCAGTTTCACACAGAAGAGCAAGGGAAACGTCACAGATAAGTTCAGGGACTTATCACTTCCTCTTTCTTAAATAAGTTCCAAACTTCATACATAAAATTGCTATAGAAGACGTTGCTTCTGACAAAACGTGATGACATTTTGTCTGCACTATCAGGCTGGTGGTTAGCAGCTACTTTCCTTATAGCTGTACCATCCTTAGGCCAAGCAAGAATACAGCTCTTCTGTATGGTCTATATTTTTAAAAAAAATGCACACATCTTTTGCCTCATCATGTTTTACAAAGCAGATCCAGGTAGGAGAGAAAAGGTAGATAGCACAGATACAGAGAGAAAAAATGCAAAGCAAACCTGTTGTATTTACATAGCTTTGAAAAGCTGGGATTAATTAGGAAGGAAAAAGACTAAATGGAATACACTGAGATAGGATACTGAAAGAGGGGAGGGCTGGAGAAAGATATAAGGATTTAAGATAGGTGTGGAATGAAGTGAGATAGAGAGACTAAGACAAAGAGAAAAAAAAATTAGGTTGGAGTCAAATAACCAAAGCAGCACAAGCTAGGGGAAAGGGCGGGGGGGAAAAATTCCAATTAGAACAACCCAGTATTGAGTCTGCTTTTGCCTCTGAAGCTGTTGAACAAGGTCTCACAGTAAGCAAGGAGCTGAGATATTTCCCTTTGTGATAGTATCCTGGTACTAACCCGGCCTCACAAGATAGCAACAAGAATGTAGCATTTCATATGTAGAATTTGTAAATAGAGCAACACAAACTGTTACTTTGTATCAAATATGCAAACCTTCTTCCAGAAAAGTGCATCAACTGGATCAAAATGTTAATAGATCAGTAAAATGTTCCCAGGTTTTTAATCACAGAAATTTCTGTTACCCAGCATTCAAGTGCCTTCGGAAATCCTCTTCCTCCTCTTCATCTTCCGGTGCTGTTGCCACCTCACTTGCTTTTTCTACAGCTATGTCACTAAGTCGCTGAGCTAAATTTAGTTTTCGAGAGCGAGAAGCATACTTGATAGCTAAATTCACAACGTTTTGTGTCATGAGGTCAGCAAGTTCCACACAACGAAATTCACGCTCCAGTTTACAAGAAAGCTGAAAGGAAAGAAGCCTGGAGTTACCCACTTCACAGTTACACAGCTCTCTCAAGACTCTAGGACCAGAATGTTATGGTCTCAGTGGAGTGAATGAATAAAGACAAACCACCAACAATCACGAGCTGCGTAGCAAAGAAAAAGCTTTTTTTTTTTTTTTTTTTTTTTTTTTTTTTTTCCTTTCTTCCTCCCACCCTTCATACTGATAAGCAATGACATTAACTGCAGTCCACCTCTTATTGTAGTCTGTGAACTAGCTGGATGGCCAAGCACTAGTCAGACTTCTAATAAGAGGAATCACATCAAAACTTACATCAAATGACATCTATTCAAAATCTATTCAAAAAAAGTCTCAGGGACTCTTTCTAATTTTTATTTATTTGTACTCACGGCAAACAGCTTCATTAAAAGTTCTTGCTGTTCTTTTACTGACTGACTTTTAGCACTTTCATCAAGTTCATAGCCATTTTTTGATAAGTAATCCACATGGTTGTGAAATACAACAGAACGCCAGTACTGTTCCTGAAAAAGGGAGAAAGATGCATCCTGGAGGTCAGAGGGGAAAAAAAACAGCCCACGACACAATGCCTAACAATTTACAATGTATTTTATCAACTTATTCTTAAATGTTCCTTTCGTTTTATAATGAGGGTGAGGGGTAGACAATTCTCTTAAAAAGCCCATGCCTACTGAAGGAAAAGCAAACCACACTACCAACCATCTGTACACAAACTGATCCAAACAGTTGGCAAATATGTTAAGTTCCATTTACATTACAGGCTTTCAGCAGGGCAAGACCTACATGTTCACCAGTATGCGGCCAGGACAGACAATTCTAGAACAAGTTCATTTTTTTATAACTTTTGTCTCACAGCAAATTGGAAGTATTCCAGAGTAACTCAGTAACTGTAGGAGTAACCATCATCTGTGAGACAGGTAAACAGAAAATGTAACTCCTGTTCAGTGAAATAGTAGTGCGGTTATTCAGCCAACCTAGCTCTGTTACAAAATAATTACAAGCTTATTCAAAACCAGTATGTTTTCACCAGATGTACTGGAATAATCTGTTTCTTTACCTACACAGAAGTACATATTCCCTCAAGCTAAATTAACAGTTCCTGGCATTTTCTCTCTATTATTTTGGAGGGTGGGGAGATAGAAGACATATTCCATCAGATAAAGAACAAAAAGACTTGAACCGAATGAAGGCGAAATCATTAAAAATGACAGTGTTTATTATTGAAACTTTTTATCTGCACTTCTATCGAAGAGAATAAATTTCAAAAAGCATTAAGCTGTCTCTAACGTTGAGGTTAGACTTTACGTTAATTTGTATTTTGTGCAGGAGAGCTGAACACCACAAGATTGAAATATTCAAACCTATAAAAAATCAAAGACTAAATAGAGATATTCTTCTAGAAGCTCTCCACAGGTACATCTTGCTTCAACCAGCCTCTACCTTAAGAAAGTAAGTCAAGACAGAAGGCCTATGTTTTCAGAGTGATTACATGAATTTGAGTACATAGAAATCTTTCAAAAAAAAATCTTCCAGAAATTTTGCTGTGATTAAAATATTAAACAAGCACCTTCAAAGGGGTCTCTATTTGGATCCCAAAATCTGGTGCTTACTAGAACATTAACCACTACCCACTCAAAAAATAAAAAAGAGGGTGAGAAAGACTTCATTGGTCAGAAATCAATTATGTGTAAATATAACCTTGCATCGGCTCTAACAACTTTATCTTGTATTCTAGAAACAGTTGTGAACCAAACCAAACCAGAAAAGCTATATAAAACACTGAACCCAAATAACCTCCTTAGCCACATGTCTTACCCAGAGTTTGTACTACCCTCTTTCATAGTAGAGATAATTAATAAGAATCTTGTATAATCCCTACTATGGGGACATCTGAAACTATCAGCTGTGGACTCAACACCATGCCATACCTCCATCTGTCCCTTTTCTGTTGTAACTTGACAGTAAGGAAGTTTAAAAGATAATATTGCTACAGCAGGCCGTGGTAGCGTAGGAGGGAATCTGGCTCCTTTACAAGGAATACACCTGTGCAAGCAAAAAAAAAAAAAATAACAAACCACATACAACCCTCAACACCTACAGTCACCAGTTGTTCTACATCTAAATCATTTCTCCTAAGAAGCAAGATACTTTAAGGGGATTTGTTCTTTAGAAAGTAGTAATTAAATTACTGACTTAAATATAGCAATATGTAAGGTTGCATTATAAAGGGTTATTTTTACATTGCAACCAATGAAAGATTTTAAAGCCAGCAAAGCACACGCTGCTCTTGTTCACAGTAGAAACTCCAAATGTGACATATAGCAGACACAGATCTCTATCTCACACAGTACACAATTTAACAGCTATTACAAAATGTAAATGCAATTTATTAAAATCAGAAACTACTGAACAACTGAAGGCCACTGGAACAAGAAGCAGGAACATCTACCATCTATTTTAATGAGGGGTTTTGGACTTCATGAGGGAAGTGCAGTGTTCTGACACACACGGCCCAGTAAAAAAAAGTGGGGGATGTGGGGGAAGAGAGCTGAAACAGATAAGCATATACTAAAAGTGTAGGCTTACTGTTTCATTATATTTAAACTAGTATTTTCTGGTAACAATCACTTCAGCAAAACATTGATTGGGGAACTGCTGTATTTCCAGCAGTGTCAATGCAGCACTGACAAAAATGTCTGGTTTTATAAGCTACTGTTTCAGACACTGGGGGGAAAAAAAAAAAAAACAGAACAGGAAGCATTAGTGTTCTGGCTATCTGTGTTAATTAAGGCATATGGTGTTTCTACAACAACCCTCCCTCCTTATCTTTAATGTGCTAGTGGCTTTGAATAAAATGTTCTTTGCAACTCAGAGAGTAGCACTCTCTTTCTTGCAGTAGAAGGAAAAAAACTCATGATGACAGACTCACAGTTGATCATCCCATCAATGTGATGTGTCCTGCACATTTTTGGTGAATTTTCTGAAGCCCAATATTATTTAATGATTTGGAGGAAGAAATGCACAGTGAATTGACATTTACCAATGATATCAAATTATTTCCCTTATTACATAAAACCCAGAAGACTATGAAGAACAACGTACAATTTTAAATAAAATGCAGTCTCCCACCAATCTCTACAATTGTGCTTGGATAGCAAAGTAAAGGAGTCTAAATTTCAGTAAAATAGCTGATAGATTCTGCCCTAGTAGGAAAAGGGCACAGATCACTGAATAAAGAGGACTACAAACAAAGCTTAGTGACTGAATGTCCAAGATGCATATTATAATAAAGAGAAGTTATTTAGATATCACCAGTATCACATTTTATAAAGTAATGGCTAATTCAGCTAAATATTTGAGCAATTTTACATACAAAATTGTTCTTCATGGCCACAGTTTAAATATTAATACAGTAACAGACAGTTCTGATTTATCTATGCCTAATGATGTAGATTAGTTACAGGATTGGATTCTTCTCAAAGGGACGAATGGGGAAAACACAGAAAAAAAAAAAGAAAAAAAAAAAAAAAAAACAACAAAACCAAAACACAAACCCACACACCCCAAAACCATCAACAGCAGAGGCAGATTCCTAACAGCAACCGTAACTTTTTAGCAGGTTTCTCTAACAAAATGCAGCCTTATGAATGTGTCTGCATGAGAGATGTGTGATTTCATAATAAAGTGCACACATCTGTTACCCAAGGCAAAAACCCACAATTGTTAGTTACAAATTATAAAACTCTAATTTCAAAACCAATTTAGTAATGAACACCCATGCAGAATTCTATTTGTGAACTAGATCATTTACTGTGCATATTTACTAGCCACCCGTTTAATTGTAGAAGTTGCTTCCAGTTTTTCATAGTAAGAAGTGCTCTGTAATTTAAAACCAAGACAAACAAAGCACTTCCTTGTGAAATACCTGACCTGAGCTGCTGGGGATTTTCATGGATGCCAACCACCCAATAATGATCAGATTTTCCTTTGCAATGCTCTCTCATGTTACACACTGGAATCCAAGTATTCCCAAGTCCTCGGTTCAACATCCGCACAATTCCCTCAGAATCCACGTAACAAGGGGTACCTGTTTGTTACAAATGAAAACAATTACTCTGTCAGGCAACTAATTACAAAGCAAGTAAGTTTGAACTGGTGGACACTGCTGGGAAATGATGGTTTACGTATGTCAAATACGACATCCTCTCACCCAAACAGTACAACCTAGCTGGAAAAAACTAGTTTTGTTAGAAAGATGCGCCACCTTCTGACAGTCAACACTACTGCTAGTCAACTGACAAGCTGAAATTTCAAACATCTTATGAAGAAATCGAATTCACACTACTTTGGTAGATTCCTAAAGAAAATGAGCTATTTTACAATCACTTTTTCTGGTTAGCATAAAAACTGCTCCCAAGCTACCAACTTTTTGGGGGGTGCTTTTGCCGAGGTAGTTGAACACACCTATTACGGTGTACTAATGCAATTTATTTCTTTTTGCTGAGCAGGGCAACCAGTTGGGAAAACAAGTTCTGATAACATTCAAGTGTATTTTATTCATAGTGGAAACATATTAAAGATTTCTGATAAATATACTGAACAAACAGAAAAATAGAATTTTGTTTAGCATTGAGGAGATTTAAAAAAAAAAAAGAAAAGTCTAGGTCCCAAGATCACTCTTACTAAAGGGGCATTAATCAGCCAAACTCTCCTCCAAAATTCCCCCAACAGCATCAAGACTTCTCAATGTCACTCATGCCAGTATTTCATACCTTCTGCAGAGAATCCAACCCATATCAAATAGGATTTCTTTGTAAGAGAAAGAGGGTCTCCATGCAAAATTTGTTTTTTTCGATTTTCCTAGCTCCATCAGCTGTACTCCGAGGCACTGGTCTCCATCAAACCCAGTACCTAGGAAGAAGTTGTTCAATGACTATTTTAGAAAACAAAATAATTGTCTTGTCTCTTGACTAAATTTAAGTTTTGAATCAAAAACTAATTCTAATGCAGGGTTATCCATGAAAACCACTGTCAGACAAGCGACTATTTGTCATTTTAGACATGCAAAGCATGTATAATAACTACTTTCTTAATTTCCCATAGTAATTCATTCTGGCATAGATGAAACCCAGGTTTAAACTATTAATGCCACAGTCATAAAATTATCCCCTTCCCCACAGGTTAATCCAGGCATCCCAATATAAAATGTAGGCTTTGCTGTCAAATGTCAAAGATCTGTGGGTTGTGACGGTAAAAGCGTCATCAAGAAGAGAAGAATGTAACAATTCTGGTGATTACATACAAATTAACCAGTGTTTGAAGCCAGTTACAGACAAAGATTGAAAACATAGCTCCAGTTCAGAAAAGACAGAAGAGAGAAAACTACCTCTGTGATAAATAACCATCAACTGCTCTCCATGTCCTGCCATAGACACCACTGGACCCGGGAGACTGAAGATCTCTTTCTGAACTCCTCCAACAGTAAACACACGAACTAGTAAGGCACTAGTGGCACAAGCAGCCCAGCCTTGCCCCAGACAGATAGCCTCAACATCTTCATCCTTTGGCATATCTACTGTCCACTCCTTGTTTGCATCCCATGAGCTAAAATGAATGCAGTGGAGCTTGCTAAAACAGAGACAAAGAACAACAGTCAAATATCTCAACATGAAGAAAAAGAGAATATCTGAAAATACACCAACATTTTACATTTTTATCAGACCTGGAATCTGTGATGATCACAGAAAGGAACTACAAATTACAAGTGGTCATTTGCAAAGGCTTTACTCTTATTATTCAAGAACTGGAGAGCCAACTCGACCTCCAGCACTCTAGATTTAGAGCTTCTAAAGCCTGAAACAGAGACAGTTTAAAGGTCTGATGGGTGATTTTTTAGATGGGAACAGGTAAGTACCCTGCTTAATTAACATCAATAAGAACTGAAGGTGCTCAGTACCCCTGAATATCAGCCCTCATTACAAGTCTGTCATATTATGCTATCCTTCAAAGGGAAAAAAAATTAGGAACTCCAGTTCTGCCATTTTAATAATTGAAAACTGCCCATGACCAATTCAGACACTGCAGCTTTTGACAGATTACCCGCTTCCATTGAGAAAAAAAGTTGAAATTTTCAGAGTCAGGCAACCAATACATACAAATAATACTTATAAACGTAAAAGGTGCTTTTCAACTTATCACAATGCTATATGTGTGAAAGTATGAAGAAAGTTCTTTCTTCAAGATATTTCCACAGAAACCAGCAATAAAATATTGTTGCTGTTGTTCTTAAATGAAAGAGCAGAGTCTAGCTGGCCCAGCTGCTTAAATCTTTCTATGGTTTTCAGAAACTTGTGCTCTTCATACTCGTAATTCTTTGGGTATCTCCAAACATGTCTCCTTAGCAACAGTGTGAAAAGAAATAACATAGTCCTTATGATTTATCTTTGATCTGAGCAGACTGAAAAACTATTGTTCATGTTTACAATTTCATTTGAGTTAGCAATCCATGAAGTTTCTCTTATATTTTTTTTTAAAAAAAAGGGATTAAAAAAGAAAATCCTCATAAAACAAATCACATCTTTCAATATTCTTGAAGTCTTCAAGTGGGTGGATGTGAAAATCCTCCTTGAAAATGATCCTATAAATAAAAAGTACAATTAAAAGCCAAAAATCTCTAAAAAGTGATAGAAGCTGAAATAACAAAACAAGTTAAGTGTAATTCCATACTACAGGGTTTGCAGAGCAAGGCCATGACTTACCTTGCAAGTTCCTCTGTACTCTCACAGGCTAGTAAAACAGCTTCAGTAGAGAGGTCAGCCATCGTGTGATTCAGAGAGTTTGGCAGGTGTGTTGCATGATGTACAGAGGTATCATGAAATTCTATATCTATAGCATTGTCTTGCTCATCATTGTAACAGCGAATGATACCAACAGAATTCCATACCTATTAAAAAAGAACATCCCCCCCAAAAAAACACAACAAATCAAGCATACTGCCCTAAGCCAGTTTCTCATCTGACACAACAGTAGGTGGGAGCTGGAGGAAGACTGAAGACCTGTGTAGTCAGGACTTGTCATTTCTAAAACAGTTGCTTCAGGCAGAAACTAGTTTCAACCTTACTGCTTAGCCATCTTTCTCCTTACAAAATTAAGTGTGAAGAACTTGGGAGTTAGAAAGAAATAGTGGATGATTAGCATACAAGTCCTAACAGCACAAAAAAATCCACAAGTTCTGGTTAAAAAATAATTTTTAAAAAGATTTGCTAGAATTCAATAGCACAGGTACAAAGTGTATAGTTTGCTTTTGTTTTAAAGCCAAGTATTTATTTCTACATCAAAAGCAACTGAAATATAAAGCATAACATTATGCAATCTTTGCATTAACACAAAGCTACTTTCCACTATTTAGCTTCACATTATGAAGTATTAAAAAAAAAAAAAATCAAAAATCTTGGAAAAGGTTAGATTAAGACACAGCAAGAACTGCAAAATATTCAGTATTAACAAAGCAACTAGACCTACGTAACCACACAGCAGCAAGATTTACCATGAAACGATGCATGAGATGTGCAGGAGTGGAGCCAGACTGGAACGGCTTTTGCCTGGGGGTTGGCATTGGCCCGTCATAGAAAGGCTGTCGTGTAGATGATGGTGGTAAAGCTGGAGAGCCACCAGTCTGATCATCATCATCATCATCTTCCTTTTCAAGAAGTTTGGAATTAGTTTTTATCATCCCAATATCTAGAAGTTTACAAAATAAATAAATAAATAATCACATCTTACACATATTATTATGAAAGAACATAGGTAAAAAATTTGAAACAGTCAAGATTTCTCTGGAAAAATAAGGCAGAATTTATCTGAGGAGAGGATGCTAAGAGATGGTTCCAATAACAGCATTAAAGAGCTCTGGAAAATTATTTCATTCTGTACCTAGTGAGTTATCATCATCATCAATTATTGCCCGTCTCAGATTGTCTGAAGGTGGCATAAAGTCATCAGCATCATCTTCATTAGCTCCAGCCTTTGGGGAAGACTGTGGTTCAATCATATCTCCATTCAAATAGTCGTCGTCTTCTCCATCAAAGAGATCATCGTAGTCCTTTGCCACTGTACCGGCAACCTAAAATCAGGTTAACAATTATCATTAAACTTCTAATAGACATGGAATTCAAGAAATTCCATTCTAATGGACATGAAATCCAAGCACACAAGAGGGAAATTTCAGCACATAAAACAGAATGTTCAATATAATTTGGTAACTTAAATAATCATGTTAATTCGAGAAATAATTGGTACCAATCACCTTGTCATTTGGTTTCTTTCCATCACCGATATTTTCCAGCAACCCCAGATTTCCTTCTGTATCTGTATATGCAATTTGCCTATATTTGGGGTGCCATGCCAGTCCACAAATTGAGTACTTTTTCTCATGCTTCATCCTAAAAAGAATATTAAACCAATGGATTTTTAGTAAGATTCTCAGGGCAGAAACCTCCTCAAGTTATTGTAAAAAGTGGAAATATTTACTAGTATTAGAAAGTGATGTTACACATAATAAAATAATTAATAGTTACCTTTAGAATAAACGGCTACTATAAAAAAAATACAGCAGGTCTTCCTTTTCTATGGAGAAAACCACTTAAGCTTTAAACATCAAACAGAATCATATTCTTAAAACAACAGCTTCCTGATACACATAGAAAAGACAAAGTAATTCCCCAGTAGTCATACATTCCCAAACCATCCAGTTATAAAAGGAACATTCAGTTGTTTCTCTTGTACCAAACTGATGAGTTAAACCTCTATCTTTTCCACTCTTTATTCTCACAAAAAATCCTCCCATTAATTATTTATATAATGTCTTTAATTCTTAACATAGGCAGTACAGTAACAATCAAGCTTCTTACCCAAAATACTTGGACAGATAAATCATCCCTTCCTCTCTACCTCACTTAATCATACCTTTTTTTTTTTCCTTTTTTTTTTTTTTCCCTTGAAAAATGGATGCTTTAACCAACCAAGAAAAAAATGCAATTTGTCAGTGGGTCCTTTCTTTGCATACAGGTGACAATGGCTGACTGATGTATCTGTTCTTCCCTCTCCCTTAAGAAAAAACATCTTACTGCCAATGATCTTGGGGTCTGGAATGTGAGGAAAATTTGTTTCCATGAAAAATATCTATCAATCAACTATTAAAAAGTAATAAACTATATTTGCACATGGAAAACTAGAGTTTGGAATTTGAACAAAATCCACATTCACGTCCCTTCCCTATTCTATTTCTAAGAATGTAATGTTTCCAGAACCTTCTAGCTATGCAGGAAGAAACATGGCATATCACATGAATCGGGACATACTTTTGTGCATGCTGGATGTGATGAGAGAAGGCAAAACAATACGGGATTTCTACCTAGCATCAAGAGTTACACTCCTGTGGAAGCTGCTTCCTTGCAGGACACGGAAATGATATGCCAGCCCTTGAATTCCCTTTAGCTTCCGAACTGCAGCATTAGCCCCTCCGTCGGGCAGCACACAAGAGCCCTCCTCTTGCTCCCTTTGCTCAGGTCTAGGCTGGGCGGTGGCCCTGCCTCCCACCATCACCCAGATCTAACACCCCTGTGCTCCGGCCCCTTCCCTGCAGATGTGATCCCAGCCCCACCAGCAGCTGGGAGACCACCTCTGCGCCCAGGTAAATGGTATTCCTCAATCTGAGCCTACAGGCACTGTCTCCTGGGGTGCTTGCTTTCAGTGGAACATGAGCAGAAAGCTTACAGATTTGCCCTTACTAAGGCTTTTCAAGAGGCATAGTTCTACATTTGCACAAATAAGCTTTACAGAAAAGATAACAAAATTCTGTTTCAAGAATAAACAGGATAAACTTAAGGATTTATGAAACATCACTGAATACCTCTCTATGCACTCCTGGGTTTCCACATTCCACACCACTATTATCCCGTCCACACTTCCAGCTGCCAGATACCGCCCACAAGGAGACCAGGCCACAACATTCAAGGGCTAAGGAAAAAATAAAAGAATTAAAAAAGAAAATATTACCAATGCACACACAGCATTCATGTTCTGGAGCTTAAAAGAAAGACATTCTGGAATAAAAAATTAATAATGATGATCTTTAGCAAATCATATCCAGCCTCCTGTATTACAGCTGGCGTTAGGTAGTTCCCTGCAAGAAATAAAGATAACACTCTTATTTTTTTTTGAGAATAGCCATCTTCTGTCATTAAACACTGCCATAAGGTCTAACAAAACCTGATTCTAGATATGTACACAGAAGTGTAGTACATCTTGCAAACTCAGCACTAAACGTAGCTTTATTTATCTTGAATTTATATAGTTCCATAAATTAAAATCCAAGACTGTGTGTTCTGTATTTTAATAACACTAGGAAATTGGTATTCTAACTCAAAGATTTCCAAGTCAAAAGAAAGAAGATGACACAGTTAAGGCTACTATGCAGTTAAATTTCAGCTTAATGAAATATAAACAACTGCTATCTCTGCTCTGTACAGAAATAATACTCTTGACATTTTCCCTGAAAAGTTATGTCTTTAGAGCAATTTGTGAAAACAGATGTTCTTCAACTGCTGTTGGTGACTCACCAGTAGACTTCAGACATCTAGTGGGTTACTATAAATGAAAGAAGGGAACCAGAGCCACATAAAGACATGTTTGACATTCTTCTAGTATCTTTTGCCTTGGTTTCCAACATAAAGTAACAGGATCAGAAATGAAATGGAAAAGGTGAGCAATCGTTACCGAGGGCAAGGGGAAGAGATACTGTCCAGAAAATCATTTCTAGCAAACTGACATTAAAATTATGGAATGTGGGGGTTTATGTGGCCCGGTGGCCATATCAGGACCTGTGATAAGAGTCACCAAGGCAACCAAGGACACAAAGAAGGAAAGAAAAGTGATGGTTCAACACTTGGAAACAAAAGTGATGGCTCAACACTTAAGGAAGAAGCCGGCAGCGGACTCGGGCGAGCAGCAGCCGATCCGCTAAGGCGCGTGAACGGCGAGTGGTCAGCCCGCAGCACCGATCACAAACTAACACACTCAGACAACAGCCTGTAATCACAACGCAGTATGCATGCACGGAACGTCAAATAAGATAAATATGTATCACTGATGCTTAATAAACGAGCGCTTTCTGCACACCACACTGGCGTCTGGGATTGGCTCTGTCACCGACACGAGACCTGGCTGCGCACGGGCACGAGAATTCACCACAATGGAAGATTTAGAAAGTTCCTCATTTATGTACCTACCTGTGTGATTAATGTATCTGATAGATCAAATTGACTATCCCAGGTTTCTCTTCTGTATAGTTTAACAACTTTATCTACAGGGATTGCCAGCAACTGTTCAAAAGAAACAAGAATCAGACAATTTAGAACAATTTACCTTTCAAACAGAACATTCAAATAGCATAACTCCTTCATTCAGTAGTATTACAGTTGGGATTGCCTCAGTATTTAACAGTTCTCTAACATCCCAGCAATGCCAAAAAAGTAAAGAAAGCTGAAGTAACTTGAATTACAAGATTCCTTAATGCTTTCCACATGCAACGTAGCAAAGCGTGTCTGTTTTTATTTCAATCTTCATTTCTTTCTGGCAGAAAACTGAATATAATGACAGTTGCATCGTAAGGTTATAAGTTCTTATTTATGAAACAGCTAACACACACACACACACACATAAAAAGTTTTCAATGCTCTGAGCACAAGGCTTATGTTCTCATTTTCCCTTCCTCTCCAAACCTCTTCTGATCAGGTTACAATTTCTCAATAAATCTTATCTGAATAGCTGATCCCTGAAATAGCTCATTTCACCTTTCACAAAACTACGTCAATGTTACTGTCTGTTTATTTTTTTTAGGATGTGGGGTTTTTAAAGACTTCTAACAATTTGCTTTGTAAGAGAAGCAAGACAACTACTCGCATTTCAAATATGTGTGTGTGTGTGTGAAGAATTAGCCTAAAAATTAAAAGTATTTGTTTTTATGATATACAGATATTGAAACAATTTGTACTGCAGGTGACGTTCTCTATTCCACAGAAAAGTTATACATAATGCTATCATAGCAGGCCAGTTATATTGAAGAGTGGACACGGGTCGACAGACACAAAGGCTAAGTTGGGAAAGCAAGATTATTCAGGTATGAACTGTGAGAAGACACTGGAAAATACTCTTTAGATCCAGAGGTACTACAGTGTCAATAAAGGATGAATAGGTTCTGCCACACTATTATCACAGGCAAGAACAGAAGCCATAAACCAATTTTTCCAAATGGCCAATTTTTGCTCAATTCCCCATCCTTTACTTCAAGCATGACAGGGCAGAACTCATTTCATACAGGTTCGCATTTATCTGCTCCTTCCTCCTCTCCCCTTTGCATTATCAGATGCTGCAGAGGTGTTCTAGGTTACACGCTCCAGAAACACATATATAGCTATACTAACTCCCCAACCCGTTTTCATTTGTGATCCATACATAGGACTATTGCAGCAGTACATATATAATGCACCAGACCTGTGGTACATATCAGCATCACCTTTAGTCATTACAGAATCAACTTCGTTCTTCAGGTGAAAAGAAAGGGAACAACTTAAAGAAATATTTACAGAGCAACATTACTGATAGGGCAAGATTTGCTTAAAGTAAAAAAAGACTGAACTCCTTCAATGCTCTGTTGTGAGCAATTTGATTATTTCCCTCATGTACAATGTTCCTTCCTATTCAGCACAACATGACTGTTTTAAGGTTGTTCTGGGCTTACAGCTGGACTACTGCCAAACAGAGTCTGGAGCTTAAACAAGTAACTGTTTCCAGGTTTTAATTTTTCCTAAAAGTGAACTTCACCCCAAATATTTTCCTTACTCCCAGGAGCTGCAATTTGGGTTTGCCCAGATTGAATTCTACTGTTGGACTCCCAAAGAGAAAAGAAGGATTAAGATGTAACTAAAACAACGTCACACTTACCTTTCCACTGCCAGGTTGCCAGCCAAGTCTGCATATTGATTTAGCATTTATCACATCGTTACATTTCTGCAGCAGTGGCCAGCTTGTCATGCATATCTGAAAACAAAATATTAAAAAATGAGTTTTCTAACTCTGTGGAAATCTACTGTATAGTACAAATTCTTAAGGGAAAAGTGTAGAAAAAATATTAAAAGGAAAAAAGCTATACCATTTTTTGAACTGAAATAATATCTTTCATCTAAACACAATGGTACAAACTGCCTTAAAAAAAATCCTGAAAAAACACCTTGCCAATATAGACCTGGAACTATTTTAATGACAATACAACTACTTGTAACAGAAATAAGATCACAGAACAAGTGTTTTTAATCAAGTATAGAACAAATGAGCTCACATATTTTTAGGTTATAGAGAAATCTGGCCAAAATGCATTTGTCAAATCCAGATCAGCTGCAAGCAGGGTGACACACATCAGCCTGAATCTTGCCACGGCAGTATAAGGAATAAATGGCTATATTCTCCCATTACAACACAGATGCATACATCGTACTGCCTCAATCCTAGGACACTGTTGGTGTAACTGCCCCAAAAGGCATTCACTGTCAGACTGGAACACGAGATTTCACATTAGAAGTATGCTTTTGTTTTTAAAAAAGTAGCAATCCACAAGTGCAGGGGTACATTTTCAACTGTACTTACAGGAATAATTCCACATGGATTCTTAACCAGTCAATGTCATTTAGCAAAAATAATCCCACATACATATGCAGAATTGTCTTACTAAAACATTCACTTGAAATCCTCTTTTCAACTTCCTTAGAGTTCCAAGAGCAGAGACTAAATCTGATTCTCACTACATCTGATTTCATACAGGCCCCAAACTATTTCAGCCAAATATTGCCAAGCTGAGCCCAAGGACCTTCTAATGAGTCATCTTCTTCAAACTGTGACTTATATCCTCCTTCTCAGAAATTGTTGTGAAGTTTGTGACAAACAAACAAAAAAGAGGAAGAGCAAGCCCCTTGTCAACAGCATTAAACCCATTCAAATCTAAAAAGCCAAAATGCACTGAGCTGAACCTTGAGTTCTTAGAAAACTGAATGTATGCGCCATAGGCAGAGAGCAGGAGACACCGCAGCAATACTGTGTCTCAAGTCCCCTGTCAAAGAAAAACATTATCACCCTGGGCATCATCTCAGTGATCCTGGCACACGAAATGTGAAATCTGTATCTCTTCCTAATCTTAGGTCAGAGTAATCATGTTCCAAAATGAGACTAACCAACCAGATCGCTTTTAAAAGAAGATACTGTGCAGCATCTCAGAGCATTATTCCACCTTCACCAGTCTGTCTACAATCCTGAAAACTATTTATTATTTCATAGGAAGTTTGGTAAAAATAAATAAAAACAAAATATACCTAGATAGCTGCTTATTAGAATGAAAATCCTTCCTTAACCTTAAAAGCAATGAGCTGAAATTCTGAAGTAAGGAATGTGATGTCAATTGCTATCTTTACACAGAAGCATTACTTCTGAACGTGCTGAGGATAAAATACACAATGCTGGCCAATAAGGAAAGATGGACAGAAGAAATCAGGGATTCCACAGACAGGAAGAAGAGTCCATATTTATCCAGGCAACATTTCATAATTAGGCTTCAGAACTACTCCCAGAAGTAGATAAAAGCAGTCTGTAAAGTGTAGTTAGATTTCTTCCCCAAAAAGAAAATCCTGCTCCAGCAGAGTTATTTCAGTCCAGCTCTTATTGCTGCCTGTGAAATCCTAGATTCCTTATGAAACAATTTTCAATGGCAGGCCTCTTACCTGATCTGCTATTTTCCATACTCGGACAGAACCATCACAGCTCGCCGATGCCTATGTAAGAGGTTTTTGTAAACAAATTAATAATTAAAGACATAGAGAAATTAATGCTACAAAATTGAAACAATCCCTATAACCAATGCTAGACATACATATAGGCAGTTTTAAAAAGAAAGCCTCCCTGTTTAAACCATTTTGAGACTTAAAACTTTCTAATAGTCACCTTGATAATTGTACTCAACTCCAAGCTACTGTAATTATAAACCCTTATACTTCAATTGAGCTGATTATTCACAAAAGAGGCTTAAAATTAATATTAAATTTCTTTAGTAAGCCATCTTTTCCCCTGTAAAGTCAGATCAGCATTAGATTCCAGAAGAACATAGATGGTAGTTGAGTAGTTAATAAAAGCCTGAGTTCTGGGAGGCAACCAGTCGTGACACACTCCACCATAAGTAAGGGCAGCTGAAATTAAGTAGTCTCTTGTGCCCAGTCACTGGGTTTTTTTTGTAAAAAGTATGTATTTTCTTTCCCAGAGAAAATGAGATTCAAAGCAGAAAGTAAACAAGAAAGTGTTTTTACCAGGTAAACATCCTTGGGGTCAAAAGACAGGCTTAAAACAGGAGCATCGTGTCCTCGGAATGTTTTCTGCTTGCTGCTATCAGTCACCTCCACAACTTTGACCATAAAGTCACTGTAGATCACAATGGCACAGACATAAAAGTACTAACAATGGTATTAATAACGACAAACTATATGTTTATTGTAATAACAACTGCGCACTAAGTACCTTTTGGGGAAGTTATGGCTCTCAATACTGTATGATCCAAGGGAAAATGAGAATCTTGAGGCTTACTACAATAGGAGCAAGGCCAATCTATTTTTATCAGAAAAAAATGTTTGTTCATGTCAAAGTTCATAAAGTATGGTTGCTCTCTGAAAAGGATATTACGTACACACAGACCATATACTTGTTTAATATCATATTCTATATGACCCAATGAAAACCTCTGCTTAGACACCAGAGAGCTAACTTAAAAAGAACCAGCCGTTAAATAGGACCAACATTCATAACTATCATTTGGTCATGTGTTTTTTAAAAAAAAAGATAGAGTAAATAGTTTATTTTGTGACTTTTTTAACAGGATTTTTAAGACCACTTAGTGTATCAGATACGTTAACAGAATTTTTACAGCTTTATTCCCTCCTCCAAAATTACAGATGTTACTGCAGTTTAACTCAAAACATCAATACTAACTTCTAAGCCAAAGAGCTCCTGTGACAGTCTTTCTTTAATTCTCCCTCTCATACTTTATTGCAACACCCTCAGAGAGACATTTAAATTTAGGACCTAATTCTACAGGGTTAACCATTACTTTAGCTATATTCAGAAACCTCAGTTTTGTCAATAATCTAACACTAACCAAACAGTCATAAAAGGAAGTCTATAAGCTGTATTGCAAGGCAACTAAAATTATGTCAGCACTCTTAAACAATGCAAGACAACTTTAAAGAGAGAAAAAAACAAAAAACAAAAAAACAAACAACCAAACAGGCAATAGGGTATTTTTTGTTTATTTAAGAAGCCACACAACTGTTTTTCAAGTAGTTCATGTGAACTTTGGCAGCCCGTTGGATGTTAAACTTACATAAAACTGAAGTTTGCAGACTTCATGTAAAAAACTGAGGTATCTGGGAAAACTAAAAGCAATTCTTAGCTGCATTCCTTCATTTCATGGCTGTTACCTTCTGTAGCATGCTACAGAAGACCTTGCTAAGGGGTGGCCTCACAGTCTTAAGAGCTCTTTTTCGTAATGCAAGCGCCCTTGCCAGGCTGCAGACGTACTGGGTTTTTGTAAAAGTTTTAGAAATAGAAAAGAGTTCGCCGTCTGCCTAATCTCTCTAATCAAAGTCAGATCCTGGGGCAGAGCTGTTCCCTCAGAAACAAGCACTGGCAAAGGGCCCAAACTCATGACCCCTGTCAGATTTAGAGTGGTTACTGCCCCCAGCTGTCCAGCCTCCCAGTTTTGGTGGAGCTGGTGTGTCTGCTCCACAGCTGCCAGAGCTCACAGTCCAGCATATTTACCCAAATTGCTTTCTAGTTCAATTCACACTTCAAGGAGCCGGGGAGCAGATGGAAACACCCTGCCATCTCTACTGTGGAGGACAAATTCCAGCAGAGGGGCAAACAGACAGCCTGAGTTAGCTACAGCTGCCCAAAGAGTTCACCAAATGCAATTAAGAATCACCTGAGCCTTAAATAAATGGAAAAAATAAAACCCTGCCTACTTGCTATTTTGCCATCTCTGTTAAAGGATTAGCGTATATTATATAAAAGCAAACATGCTGCCCTAAGAAATTAACTAAACTACACATTTAATTCCCCTTGGGCAAGAGGTGCAACTGTCATCTGTTACCATTTGGCAGAACGGTGATGATACTTATGCCAGAGAATGACTCAAAGCTCTCCCACAAATTAGAACCCATCTAACTTTCGCATGTGTGTATACATCTGCAGCACCATGATCCTGAACAGTCAGGACATTATCTCGAGCACACAGTAACAAAATCCTTGATGCTGTAATGAGATCCATATGGATGAACATGTATGCTTACTCATTACAGGACTGAAAGCACTGAAGTCTCCTAAAGAAAACTAATTATTTCACAACACCAGATTTCCATTTCAAATTATTTGGCGGATCAAGTATCTCTCAGAGCATTGTTTTCTAAAGTCCTTTTCATTCCTTTCTTCCCCTCCACCCCCAGAAGGCATTTTCCAATACTGTAAAACCCCCAGAGGTATGTGGCTTAATGATCTCCTTGGTAAAAATCAGCATGTGAGGAAATTGCCAGATTCTGAACAACAGCGGTGCTTTTCCTTATCATGCACAGATTACCTAGATCCAGCAGCAATTTTGGTGCCATCACTATTAAAGATGACGTGGTTTGCATTCATGGTGAAGCGAGTAAGGATGCCATCTGGAGCTCCTTCAGGAAAGGTATGTATCTGAACAGTATTGTTCGATACTGCTGTGATCAATCTTCCATTCTAAAAACAAAATCCATCATAAAATTTGTTAGTTAAAACACATTTATGTCCACAGAGCCAAAAAAAAAATGCTCTGATGTGCCTAATATTTGGACAGACTAACTTTAGTAGTTTCAAAAGAGGTCTGACAATAAGAGTAGTACAGGACATATTCTTTAACTCATATTTATTCCCCCAAAAATATAGACAAGCACAGTAACTTTAATACTTTATCACTTTAATCAAACTATTAAAACTAGAAAAACTGTTCTCTTACTTCCAGTCCTGTAGAAACACACAGCTACATTTAATACTGAAACTCCAGCTGCTTCAGCAGACTTAAAATTCATTATGCTAACTATATGGCAATTTACTGCATCAAGACCTTCCCAACTTGTATCTTTACTAAAATAATGAATAATCAAAGTCACTAAAAAATTTCCAAGAGAAATATCCAATCTTCTTTTGGTGGATGGAAAATTCACTCCTTTTCATGGGCAAGAAAGCTCTTAGAACAGGAAGAATCATGCATTCTATTTGGATTAATATGCTGCAGTATCAGGAGAGGGCACCCTTAGACTGAACTTCTCAGTTAAATGCCACCAGGGAAAGATGAGAAGTTCATGAACTAGAGCTTAGCTCTTTACAGAAAACAGAAGGCAGATGTTAACTAAAAAGGAATCCAGATTAAAAGTAGTGCAAAACAGAAGAAATAATTATCCTACACTTGGAAAAGAAGTATCTCTTCTTCAGGTGACAATACTATTCCTCAGCTGTACATCGCAGGAAGTTTTTGGAATATATAAATAAAGAAATACTTTATTTCCTTGAGTTTTTTTGTTTGGGGCTGGGGGGCGGGGTGTTGCTTTTTTTTTTAAATTACCTAAAGCTATAGTAAAAATCTTGAAGATAAACAAAGCAGCGGCCACTACCAAGTAACCTAACTAAATAAGAGATGAAATTTATTCCATAGATTACATCAATATCTCAGATCAATTCCTCATGACATGTTAATTAATGAAGAATAATTTTTAAAATGAGATTTCCTGAAGTTTAAGTCTCACAAAGCATTCTTAGTCTCACTGTTTAAAAGATCCCTCAAAAACGAAAAGCACTTTACAATAAATTTAAGAGGACAGGCTTTTTCACACTGGTGTCAAAAATTAAAACCAGGATTTTTCCTCCTCTATTCATTAAGAATTTGAGCAATTTCTGGCTCTGCCACTGGTTTGCTAAGAGAACTCATTCAAGTCACCTCACTTGGTTTGTGAAAAGGTAAGTAATGCGGTGACAATCAACAGTAAAATACACTAAAAATGAATGATGAAAATAGATTATACAGGTATTGAGAATCAGATACATAAGGTATGTTAAAAGGGATATATGAAAGAGGTTTCACTTAAGGCAATAGTTTTGAATATGGTTTCAAATAATTATTTTTAAAATATAATACATACATGTCAATTCTCATTTATTTCCTCTTTCATACTCCTTTCCATCACAGTAGTTGATAACTACACAATATCTGAAAAACTGATGTAGACTTCTGGAATTCCTCTCTTCTACAGTTGCCAGAAAAACAACATCTTAGACCTTTTATTACTAATGTAATATAAGAATAATTGCACATAAAGGAAGCACTGTGAGAATTCTCAAGAGAAGTACACGAATGTGCATAGTAAAAGAATCCCTTTCTGTTACACAAATTGATATAGGTAACTTATTTGCCTTGTTAACTACAAATAACAATTACTAAAAGATATGCTAAAAGGAACTGCCTTAACATTAAAACAAACAGCGCAGGTTATGCTTCAAATGGCAGTCAGTCAGACTATGGAACTGCCTCTTGTCAGTATTCTCAAAAATTCTTACAACTTATGCAAGCAAGAGTCCTGTTCTCTTCTGACTTTGGGGAGGGTGGGTGAGAGGCATCTTTGGGCTAAACAACAATTTTGAGAGCGAAATATCAACCAGTTATAAAAAAGAATTAACAAAGCATTACGAGACACTGATTTTGTGAAAGTAATTTTTGATTAATACAGATTATAATTCCTTGGACCTTAAAACTGGCCCACATAAAACAACCTATTGGCTCTTTTTCCTAATACTTGGTGATCACATCTTACTGTGGGAAACTTTTTGCAACTCACATTGTGAGAAAACACTGAAACTGCCTAAAAAGTTCACTGCATAATCATAATTAGCTTAATATGTTGGGTTTGTTTCTCAGAAAGGAGATCAAAGTCAGAAATTAGTATAACTGAATGTGAAGGAACAGGAGGAAAAAAAATGTTACAGAAGTTTAATATAAGGAATAATTCCTCTACAACCCTGTATGGGGTAAAATGGCATGTAAGAAGTATTCTTGAATTAAATAAAATGCTTAATTTAGTTAAAACATTCAAAAAGTCTAAAGGCACAATTAGTCAAATTTCTGTGTATTTCAGAAAATTGTGTTTTCAATACTGCTTTAATATTTTCACTTAGACATAGAGGTTCATATGCTCAGATTTAAATACCTGCCCGCCATTAAACGGCATTCAATTTATTTTTTCCATACATTAGTCTGAAGAAAAAGATCTATGTATTTAACATACATCAGACTGAAATGCGCTACATACAGTATTATTCTTGCCTTTTTCTGTGTATTATCCCAGTATTTGTTTAATGGCACCCACACAAGGAGCATCCCTGAGCTTGAAAACCCACCACCTGTACAGTCATGTATCAACACCAGCATGACACAATTTAGAGGAGTTCTGTTAACAACGATACCTTTAGAGCGCATGAATAGGCCTTTTCTCCCACATTAATGGACTTTGGATCATCATCATCCAGGTTTTCCCAAATCCTAACATCTCCATCACTGCCGCAAGTTACAATGGAGCTGCAGAAGGACACAGGATTTGTTAACATTCAGGAATGGAAAGGACAGCCACTGTGTCTTTCAATCCCAAAATAAAAATGTGTTCTAATCTAAAAAAAAAACTAACACTTTAGTAAAAATACATACTATGCGATACAGCAAATACCTATATTTATTATGTCTAAGTAACTTATTAAACATAGGGGAAAAAAAAAGTCATGTCTGGTAGCATAACACAGTACTTTGAGTCTCTGATAACTACCTAGGCCTGGCACTCATCTGAACTGACCCTCACTTATGATCACTCAATCCTTTTCTTCCAGGACATAGAGTGAATTTTTCAAAGGGCTTAATTAGCACTGATTTCTCCAAGAACTGGGCATTTAATTGCTTCTTAAGACTTTGAAAACTTACCTTACAGCTGATTACAAAGTTGAGGGCAAAACTAAGAATGTTAATGCATACTTGACTGATGTTTAACAAGCTTAGCATGTTCCAGGCCTACAGAACCCTTAAAAAATAGCTAATACGGAATTCAAGTTTGCTGGAGTTAACTTTCACAATTTGAATGCAGTAAACAATAACCTGCAGTCACAGCGCAAATATACAAAAGTTTGCATGGGATTTTTAATTAAAGACGTCGTGACTCTATAATCAAACCTTGCATTCTTTTTTTCTAGTTGTTCACAGTCCCAAAAAATTCTAATTAAATAGCAAAATGTTACAAAGCCAGTGGTGAAGCTGTGATGTTGCTCCTCTTAGTTCTGCAAGGTCTGTACTTTGACAGCAACACAACACTGTGTCGATATTGAATATACTGATGCTGGGGAGCCCAGCAGTAGTGGGCCAGTGGGATTTGGCAGAGATGTTTGCATCTTTTTTTAAACATTTCTATTGTATTGGCAAACAATGCTTTCTGTGGTTTTGAGGGATTGTTATTAGACTAACTCTTAAGAGTACCAAGTCTAGTGAACTAAAGGAATAAATAGGGACTTAAACCATACTCAATATATAATACCTCTAGAGTTAATTTTGAGAGCGCTTGTTTTCTGGTTTACCATTTATTTTTTAATCAATAAAATGGTAATAGCAAAAATTTAGTTTGTATTTATACAGTGAAGAACTAGCACAAGAATAACAAGATAGCAAGGCAATATTGGACTTCTTCAACTATATTTTTAATTTCTTAGTGCTTATGTGAACGTATTTACTCCCACACTACACTGATTTCCGCTAGATTCTATGAAGTCACTCTTAGAAAAAGTGCATATGCAGTTCATGTGTATATATAACACATGTATACTATATATATGCATGTATATATATATATATATGGGCTTTCATTAAGTTATATGTCAATCTCTTCAAAATTCAGAGCATCAAAACATGTCTTACAGCCAGTTCTCAACACAGGCAAAACCCAAAGGACCTGCCAGACCAGGCCAGGCCAGAAATGCAGCCCTGTACCTCACGCAGCAGTGGCTGCTCTGGAAACTCCTGGGAAAGCAGCAGCCGGGCACAAACCATCCCTCCCCCAAAAGTACCCTTCACCCCGGCCTCCAGGAATTGGGCAGTTACCTCCCACTGTCATCGAAGCAGACGTCCGTGTGGCCCTCGGTGTGGCCGTACCGCATCGGCTTCTGCGTGGACGGCATCTTTGCTCCCGCCTGTTTCTTGACGGAGGGCAAGAGAGGAGAAATAAAATAAATTTAAAGCTTCGGGAAGAGCCTCAGACAGCAGGGCGAGGTCAGAGCTGCTGGGACACCCACCCACCCACCCACGGGTCTGGGGACGCAGGGCACAGCCACCCCTCGGTGGATTACAGCCGGCTAAATACGGGACACGGCGCCCGCGCCTCCCCGCGGAAACGAGCCAAGAAAACGGGGGGAAAAGGGGCCGCCGGTGGTGGCGGGGCCTGCCCCTCAGGCCGAGCCAGGCCGCGGCTCCCCCACCCGCTCCCCGCCCCGAGCCTTCCCGCGCCCGGCCCCGCCGCCCGGCCCACCCCGAGGGCCGGCCCGGCCCCGTCAGAGCCCGGGGCGGGGCTGCGCGCAGGCGGGGCGGCGGCCCGGCCCCGGCCGGCCGGGAGAGCGAGCGGGGATGGCGGCGGGCGCGGCCTCGCAGCCGCGGAGCTCCGGCGGCTGAGGCGGGGGAGCCGGGGCGGCCGCAGCCTGCGGGACCCCGCGCACCGGCGGCCGCGGAGCCGCCGCCGCCCTTCCTCTTCCTCCTCCTCCTCCTCCTCCTCCTCCTCCTCCTCCTCCTCCTCCTCCCGCCGTCACCTCCGCGGGTCAGGCCGCCCTGCCCGGCGGAGGGAGCGGCTTCCCCGGGGGAGGCAGCGCCGGCGGCCGCCGCTCCGTCCCGGCGATCGTAAGTTGGGGTCGGGGGGAGCCGGGGTCGGCGGCTGAGGGGGCCTGCGGGCTCGGCCCTCGGGGGGTGCCTGCTTCTCCGGTGAAAAACTCTGCGTGCGAGCGTGCCCGATGCCCATATCCTAATCTGTACAGCGCATATGTATTTACTGCATGCGCTTATGTAGACGTATTTAATGGCAGTCCCTCAGAAAGCACAGGAACGACGATGAAAACCCCAAATGAGGGGCAGTGCCCTTCACCACCACCCCCCCCGCTGAGCCAAAATCCCCGTGACAGCAAAGCGTTGCAGGGAGGCTGGGGAGTGCTCTCGCCCGGGTAAAGGCTGCAGGATCAAACCCCAGTTGGAGATCGTTATGGTCATTACGGAATTACTCCTTAATTACAGCCATCCCGATGCGTGTGCTGGGTTTAGTCGACAGCAGTTGTAGTTAGGCAGGTAGCGATTGCGCTACAAAAGTCATTAAGCTTTCGTGTGCGGAGAAATAGGAGGAAAGCAGCAAGGTCTGTTTCTCAAAGGACAAAAAATGCTAGAGCTCAACATACCTGAAATAAGGAGAAAAAATCCCGGAGTTCTCTGTTTTCCCCTTATGCAGCTTTAATGATCTGGCCCAGTTTATTCCTGCTTCTAAGAAAAATTGCTTTCAGGGAAAACCCTTTTCAGTTTTGTTCTGCAGTGGAGTTATTGGTGGTTGGTGTGAGCAGAGTGACTTATTTATATTGGAAATGTGATCGGGCTCTCTATAACAGTCACATTGTTGGTACTTTCATGAATGAGTAAGTGTCAGGATTACATAGCAGGCATGCTTCTTTTTAAAAAAAAAAAAAAAAAAAGACCTGATTTCATTATTAAACCTCGTGGAAGCCGTGTAGAGACATGTTTTCCATGGGTATATCCTGACATATTTCAGTAAATCGTGATTTCTGGTGAGGATAACGTGTTCTAGCAAAATTATTTGAGCTGAACCGCTTATCAGATGAGTGGGAAGACCAAGCTATTCTTGCAGCAGCCTTACTGCAAGCCGCTGCCTGGGACAGAACCAAACGCATGTCAACTGTATTGATTTTTCTTTATTATTTTAATTTGCAGAAACTCTCATACAAACTGCGCCTAAAATATTTTACAATATAAAAGCCATTGCAAGTTCAGTTCTACGGAACAAGTAAATTCATGAATTCAATGAATTTTTGTCTGGAGGTGCTACCTGCTGGGATAACTCTGAATGGCATGGGAAAACCAGGGGGAGGTTTTTCAGGGGGATCCCGTAGTCACTTGGCCAAGGGACCGCAGGCCCTGTGGCTTTGCCACATCCGAAGTGGCACGGCATCAAACGCAAAGTTATTCTTCAAATCTGGTCAGGAACTCAACCTGCTGCTGAATTGATTAATAGGTGTAAGCGGCCGCCAGCAGAGCGGCAGGGCGGGAGCCGGGAGTCGCGCTGCTCTCCTGTTGGGTTTCTGGGTGGAGCGCGAAGTGTTGGTCATGGACCATAAAGCTTTTACTGATTTAGTGCTGCTGCGGTCTGCCAAGCGCTGCGTGCATCTTTCCTTCAGCACATAAGCAGGGTTTCATTAAAACAGTAGAAATGAGCAGCCCTCACCTTTGGCAACTGCTTCCAGATCACTTCTGCCTCCTGGGTGTGAATAAAATAGCCCCAGTGTTGGGGTGAGGTGGGCATGGCAGCGCGCCCCCCTCCTCTTCCAGCTCTGAGAATATACAGACCTAGGATGTATCAAGGGTATTTCCAAGTAAAAAGCATTGTAAGTTATGATTGGTATCTTGATATAGTCTCTTTTATGTGTGTGTTATTATTGCTTTAATTTGCTGGAAAGGCCTCTAGAGCCTAACTTAGGTATTTTTGGACAGTATCGCAAGTCAAAATAAACATAGACAAAACTGAAGAAAAATAAGTTAAGACAGAGGAATTGAGACTTAATGTTATCCTTAATAGGTTGGGCGTTTTTCCAGAATAAGTCAATAACAGCTCAACTTCAGTGGAAGGTCAGGTTTTAAAATGCGGTCTTGTGGCCAAAATCTAATTGGGCGAAATTAATGAAAACAGCATGTGACCTGCAAGAATTTTTTTAAATAACTTTCATGTAAGTTTAAAGAAAATAGAAGTAGTGCTCCGATTTATTACAGCTTGCACTTCTCTCTCAGGATTTTATCAGCTCTAGAAGAAAATCAGCCTGTATAACAATTCCAAAATGGATTTATTGTCCTTTGTGTGAGTCTCCTTTTCTTGTTTCATTAGAGGCATAATACAGCAACACTTTGGCTTTTGTGTACTTGGACAGAAAACTTGCGAAGTACTTCCTTCTCTCGAAGGGTCGTGCAGGGTGGGAGCACCGAGGAGGTGGTGGGATCTCTGCCCTCTGAGGTTTTCAGGATGTGGCCAGACCATGCTGTGGCTGCTCTGAGCCCACCCGGGCAGCAGCCCCGCTCTGAGCGGGAGGGTGGGCATGGCTGCTTCAGACAGTGCTTTGCTGACATTACGTACAATATTCTGCTTCTTCGTTATCCCAAAAGGGAAGCGGTTTGATGAAGATGACTTGGAGGTACTGGGCTAGAGGCAAGGATTCAGCGGCTCAGGACATAAAGATCTAGTTAAAGGGATTCAGTATTTATTAAATAAATTTTAAAAGGGTCTGTCTACACTTAACAGTTTTGATTCTCCTATTGGAGTTATTGAGTACTTGCCACTGATTTAATTAGACATATGGTGAGGCTGTAACTGTCTTATCACAGTTGTTGATTACAGCCTACCTCTGGCTAGGAGGTAATATTGTTATTGCCTCCAAATAGCTACTAGCTATTGATTTTAGTTTGGGCTTGGAGTTTTAGTGTTGAGGCATCAGTGCTTGAAAGAAAACGCATCTCATGCAGCTGTCTGCACCCCCCCGCAGCCTGGTGAGAGACATGCTTCTGAAGGAGGGAGCTGTGCACGTTATAAAAACAACAGCAAAAACCACGCAGCTCTCTGCTTGTCCTCAGGGACTGTAAGCTGTGTCAGTGTTGGATAACCTTGAACTACAAGCCGGATCCCATGGCCTGAATTGAACTCTGCTTATCCCTGCATGTTGCTTTATCTTTGCCGTTTGCTTAGGCAGAAGGGTTTCAGGCGTAAGGGTTTTGTCAAATCTGCGTGCTTCTGAGATGCCTAGGGTGTCCCCCTGTAGAAGGCGGCTTTTGTAGGCAGGAGTCTCATTATATCTACCAAAAAGATCTCAGAACTGATGCGTGTAAGCTGCACGGTGCTGGACTCCTCCATTTAACCCTGCCCTGTAGGGAAAAGTACACTCCATCTTCCCTCTCTTTTATCCTCGCCCTCCTCTCCTGCTCTTTCAGTTGCGCTCCAGCCGTTAATGGATGTTCACAACATTTCCCTGGGACATTTGCAGCACGGGGAATAGCTGGGTTACGTGGATAGCCTGCAGTGGTAATACAGCACTGACTGCCTCCCTGTCCTTGATGCCTTTTTCTTTCCAACACCCAAATTATTTTTGGTCCCCGTTTTATTGGTGGGCCGTGAATCAGGATTCGGAAGGGTGTGGAGGTGCGACCTCTTATTGTAATGCCAAACGGTGGGATTTGGGCGCATAAATACACTGTGGCTGATGCATCTTTCAGAATTCAGCTTGCCTGCAAGCACATGGAGGTTTGTAACACATTTGGAAACTGAGGTTTTGTCTCCTGAGTCGCAAGCTTTACTCTTCTTTTGCAAGGTCCAGTTCAAACCTGGCTTTCCTAGGATGACATCCCTTTTTCTTCATTCATTCCGTGCTTTTTTCACGGGTCTAGTGTTATGTCTGATTAGCAATTACAGCTCTGACGTGGCAGAATTGGCGCCTGGGTTCCAGCAGCCCTCAAACCCCAGGGAAACAGCTCTCTCTGTTGCTGGCTAATGGTGCATGTCTTACAGCATCACGTGCTACTTCTCCAGTTTAAGTTTCAGGGTTCAGGTACCACTAGCGATTAGTGACAGGAAAAAATGTACAAAGTAGAAGGTGGCTTTGCAGTTAAATACAGCAACCTAGAAATGACATCAAACACTGAAATGATTCCAGTTGCAAGGCTGAGGTTAGGAGACGGTAGGCCTTTTCAGTACTTCTGAAGTTAGGAGACGATGAGCCTTTTCAGTACTTCTGGGTTTTGTACATTTTGCAGTTTTTAATTAAAAGCCCATATTCTGGCTTTTATTGCAAGAATAAGCGTGTTCTTGTTCCTTATATGGGCTGGATGTGCAGAATGAGATAATTGAAGGTTTCAAATGCAATTACAAACTGTCATATCCTAATTTTTCAGTACTTGACTTTGCAACCTCAATGGTATCTCTCTGTCCAATTAAAAATCCTATATAGAGAGAGTTAATGTATTTTACCACAGGATTAATCTAGAATAACTCTTTGTCTTCAGCAGTTACTCCAGATTATCACCAGGATAAATTGCTTTTTTTCCTCTTTTTTAATTGTGGAGAAAATTCAGTGCTCCACTCTGGTTGTTTCTGGATGAAAATTATCAATGTTACAAAAACAATCAATGACTCTTGGTGTAAATAAAGGTGTTTTGGGTATCATATACAAAGGTTGCCTTCCTCCTCTCTGCATTGCATGCTG